AGATATTCTCATCAAGAGATCGCTTTTGAATCTGGACTCCCATTCCTTCTCACATGAGTAGGAGTGCCCTAAGATTGTGCGGATCTGATACTTGTTAAGTCTGTCATGTCTTGCACTCAACAGATCCGGTGATTTAAGACATGAATTGTATGAACGAAACGCTTTCAACGCTTTCAATGCATTCATCATTTGATTAGCGATTAAATGCTTCAATATTTTGATTGTCCGGCGGTTCACACATGCGATCACTCATTGACTCTACACTCACGACATCTCACGGACACCACTCAACACATTCACCACTATCTCCAGAATATTCTGTATTCTGTAAGACTTATGACACGATATAATACATTAGTTATATAAATAATTTTATTATAATTAATTTTCAAGATATTCGCGAATAATACCCATTCTAATTAAAAATTAACTTTATAAAAAAGTTTTAACAGTAAGGTGAGTACATATTACATGAATTATTCAGTTTACATTTATTAACTGTAATTTAGACATTCAGTATTTGTATAAAACTATATTTTAAAGTGAATATTAAACTTGATTTTCTTCGGTTTCGATAATTGGCTCAAAATGTTGGAAATTCTCATAAAGAGGTGTTTCCTCGATTGGCTCTGACTTGTGAGCGTCGGTAGCATTAGTATTGGTGGCGATATTCCTGGGATTAGTGATCGGCTTCTTCCTGACCCATGATTTTTGGAGACGAGAGAAACGATTGGAAAGATTTCGTTTGCGAAGACCCGCGTAGACTCGACTCACGTTTTGCTTCAATTCATTAAATACTCAAATTGAGTTTCAAACGAGAAATTATTATATATAGATATTTACCTCGATTAAATCCTTGTCTTTAGTGTGATTTGGTTTTACTCTAATATTTGGCACGTCTTTTACGTCTGAAAACATACCATTAGTTAACAAAATATATTTTGAATGATAAAACTTCTATAAAGTGAACTAAAAAATTAACTTAAAATTTGATAAAATATAAATTAAAATATGATCTGAACAATTACAATATTTCTTAAAGATTTTGATGTATTATAAATTGTTTAAAACCTGCGAAATAGTCTTCATAACTCTGGAGCACATCAATGCCAAAAAATTCTGCGGTTTCGTCAGGAAATCTCAAGTCCGAGAAAAATGCAATGACTCCAAGAAATAGACAGAATATTCCTTAAAATAAAAATTAGTGTCAAAATGAAAAGGAAAAAATACAATTACATGAAATGCCCACCATTTATAAGATTCAAATAATAGCACAACGAGTAGTGTGGGGCCAGGAATACAGTCTGTCCACTGATGTAGTGCTCGAATGGAATTCTTAGAGGAATTGGGTTTCTAAGCATCGAATAGAGAATATTAGCGCTTATAAGACACGAACCCGTCATCAGCAGAAAGAGAGCGCCGTATTGTATGACCATTTGGAAGAGTATGAGTGACAATACAAACAGTGGCACCGATAGCCTAAACATCAAATTGTTTTTACATTTAACAAAAAAGTACTGCAGAATACAAACCAAATGAGAATATGTGTGAACCAACCCGACAATCGGTAATTACGTCCCCAACGTATGCCTTCCCCATCAAATGTGAAATACTCGGCAACCCATAGAATCGCATTCGGGAGCCCTTTATATTGGGAATAACGGTATTGCTGGTGGAATATACCGGCTGTTCAAACAGAATATTGTCAACAAATTGCTTCAAAAAATATACAGTATGTAAAAATTCAATTCAAACCTTGAGGCCCGAAACCAACCCTTCCCTGACTCCATTCCCATGAATAATGTTCGTTATAATTAATAGTTTCTCCCAGTTGCTTTTCGGGTATTCCTAAAAGTGTTATATTTATACCCCTGAGTCCTATATCAAGGCCAATAGAAACGTTAACGTGAGCACCAGTTCCCGCTTTGTATTGAACCAATGCGTCTACGGAATCGGTTTCCCATTTACTCTCGAAATTACAAACTTTTACAATAATTTAATGCATAATTAATTTATTGATTAAAATATTGGTTAACTTNTAATTTATTGATTAAAATATTGGTTAACTTAAAAACCTACCAAATATTGAAACTCCAATAAAAACAGCCGCAAAACACCGAATGGAAACAAACCATCGCTACATTCATAATATTAAACATATTTAAGGTTTTAAAATATTCAAGAATTTATCTATGAATAGTCATAAATTAATTAATGCCTCAAAATAAAAAATACATAAATATTAAGTTAAGTTAAGTTAAGTTAATTATATTTGTAAAATAAAATTGATAATTAAAATGAAGACCTCTTTGCCTCTAAATCCGGGCAAAACACACAATATTGAAACGACTATTGAAATAAATGCGAAAATTAAAGCATATATTTCAATATCAATTGAAACGCTGGTTTTATTTTTGTCATAAATGGTGGGAAAGCCTTCAGAACGATAGGCCTGATATAAATTAGTTTCTCTAATCGTTTCATAAGATTCCATGCCCTTTAGATTAAATATAATATTCACAATTGAGTCAACTGTACTGTACTATAATTAGTCACATAATTAATATCTTAATAATATTGAACTCAATTGTGTAAAGCATTAAATTTATAATAATTTTATAATAACAGGAAA